GGTATACAGTTTGCCTTATACATTTGCATTGATTTTAGCCTAAAAACATGCATCATGCATTCATCAATATACTGTTTGCATTATTTACAGATCTGAATCAGCAGTACACTCATGCTAAAAAATGTAGAGCTTTAAAAACAAGTAAAAAAAACTTCCATCCTGAAAGGACTGTTTTAAGTGTCAAACATCTATGTTTAGAGTTTGATTTCTATCAGCTCGCTTTCTCAGGTTGTTAAGTTTTGCTTATAATTATGTGAATGTCTCCGTTTCTGTGTTGGAGATTCATTGCAACTGTTTATCAAATTCTGGTATAGGCACTTAATGAGTCTTCTTTTTTAAGGTATTTCAAGCATACATCATCTACCTGTTTTGCTGAAATTAAACCACATCCCTTGATGTCCTGCCACCAGCCATATCACCCTGCAGCCCAAGACTGGTTGCCCACTGAAGCTAAGCAGGGCTGAGCCTGGTCAGTACCTGGATGGGAGACCTCCTGGGAAAACTAGGTTGCTGCTGGAAGAGGTGTTAGTGAGGCCTGCAGGGGGTGCTCACTCTGTGGTCTGTGTGGGTCCTAACACCCCAGTGTAGTGACGGGGACACTATACTGACAAAAAGCACCGTCCTTCGGATGAGACGTTAAACTGAGGTCCTGACTCTCTGTGGTCATTAAAAATCCCAGGATGTCCTTCGAAAAAGAGTAGGGGTGTAACCCCGGCATCCTGGCCAAATTTGCCCATTGACCTCTGACCATCATGGCCTCCTAACCATCCCCATATCTTCTGATTGGCTTCATCACTCTGTCTCCTCTCCACCAATAAGCTGGTGTGTGGTGGGCGTTCTGGCACACTATGGCTGCCGTAACATCATCCAGGTGGATGCTGCACACTGGTGGTGGTTGAGGAGATTCCCATCTTCTATGTAAAGCACTTTGAGTGCACAGAAAAGCGCTATATAAATGAAAGGAATTATTATGTCAAGCAATACATTTTCACATACATTCTTTCACACATGATGAGTCAGTGACCATCTAAGTGTGAATGTTCTTGTACCGGTCCATTGCAGGGGTTGGACACATGTGGTACATAAATGAGCACAGCACAGGTACTTCTCAGTCTGCATGTTTGGCGCTCTCAGATTATGATTAAAAAAACCTTGCAGGTAAGTGAAAAATAACCTAAATTTACTCACTTCATTGTTAATCTGAGTTTATTGACTGATAATAATATCTATCTTCAAGCTATTTTTCGACATTGAACTGCTACTGTAAAAACTGTTGATGATGCTGAAGCACTAACAGCATTAACATTATTCTATCGATTTTGCATAGGAACAATATCATAGTGAAAGTTAAACTGCTAAAATCTAGCATGCTTATAAAGTGATTCATTATAAACATAAAACTTATTTTATAGTTAGTACATTTCTACATAAGGAAGGGTCTAGGATACACCAATCAAATCCTGCACAAAGTTTTTGATTAAAACCAATATCAGCAAAGAACATTATAATGTATGCACCGAAGTGAACAATATTAATATTGTCCTCTAATAATCAGTGATTTTTTTTTTCAACTTTATTTCTGATTTATGTATATCACGGCAGGGTAACATCCAAACTCGCAATGATTCCAGTTATCCTGTGGTCTGGGCTTCTTCTGTACCTTCCTCCTCCGACCAGCCCAGCATGCTTTCTGGGTAAAGAAGCAGAGTGTCAAGATGCTAATTTTGTGCCAGGATCTGACTTGGCTGGAGAGGATTTCAACATAACTAAGATGCAATGCCTGGGCACTTTTGTCATCGACATGAGTAAGTGGCAGCTCAAGAACAACACGTGTAACCTGTGCAAAAACCCATTCATGCAGGACAAAAAGCAGAAGCTCCCGGTGTCTGTGATTTACTGGAGGGCCACCCAAAACTGCAGAAGGTCATTATCCAGCTCCGTTTATGAGTCCAGCGAGTCCCTGGTCAGTTCCAGCACCTCCTCCGTAGAGAACAACTGGAAAGCCGGCCTGGGAATAGGCAACGTGGCAGGTAAGATGTCACTGATGTTGGCTGGAACTAACTCCAAACTCGCTGAGTATTCAATGACAAAGACCAAAAAGGTCAAGTTCAGCTTCATCAAACAGTCTACATCCTGCGGATACTACAGGTAAGACTTATCATATATTAGTCATTTGGTGTGATGAGTGTCATGGTTTATGGTTGTCTGTATGTGCAGCACAATAAACTACTGTCTTAAGCTAAAGCATTAGAAGCCACTCTCCTCTTCATCAGGAACTAAGCTATGAATTCACAAGGCTTACAGAGACGTATGACAAAAGACAGCTACTTGTCAGTTGTTGAAAAGTTTGGCACACATTACATTGTCCAGGTAATCCAAAATATATCAATATCAATGTGTACTATTTCTCTCAGTCTGTCGCATATATGTCTCTGTTGTTTGTAATCTGTTCTGCAGGTGAAACTCGGTGGAGCAGTGCAATCTGTGACCAGTGTCAAACAATGCATGGCTACTCTACAGGACCTCAATATGGATGAGGTCAAAACATGTCTGTTATTAAAAAATTATTATCATCATGATCATTATTGGGGGAAGGGTTCATGCTTTATAATATAATATAATATAATAATGAAAGACAAAAATACAACAAGTATATATTATTATCATCATGATCATTATTGGGGGAAGGGTTCATGCTTTATAATATAATATAATATAATATAATATAATAATGAAAGACAAAAATACAACAAGTACAGTGCCTTGCGAATTTTTAAATTTTTTTTACATTTTGTTATGTTGCTGCCTTATGATAAACTTCTTTAAATTACTTTTTTTCCACATCAAACTACACTCCATACACCATACTGACAAAGCAAAAACAGAATTGTCACAACTTCGTACATGTATTAAAAATAAAAAAACTGAAATAAGTATTCATACCCTTAACTAAATATTTAGCTGAAGCACCTTAACAGCCTTAAGTCTTTTTTGGTTTGATGCGACAAGCTTTGCTCATCA